TAACCTTTTTTCTTTTTCTTGGTGCTTAGTCTGGTTGCTCTTGCTTAGAGGGGGTCGCATGCAGAGGCCTCTCACCGGGCCCTTCACACTAGAGCTCCTGGGGCAAAACGGCGGCGCCCAGCACCTCAGCTCCGGGGCGTAAGCAGAAGCGCCACGCGTTAACACTGCAATTCAAGATGGCGGCGGCGGCGGCGGCGGCGGCGGGCTGTGCGCAGAGACGCTGCCCCAGGCGCTGAGATCTGGAGCGCTGAACTGCGCCTGCGCCCCACCCCACCCTAGAACCCCACCCCCTCCCAGCTGATAGGATCTCTGTAAAGCAGCCCCAGCCCGCCGATGGCGTGTCGGGGTAGCGCTTGGACCCTAGAGTCGGAGCTCGCACCTTTCCCTTCTCTGATCAAAGAACAGAGTTCCCTTTGCTTCTAAACCGAACTCAGTCTCATTCTGTTGGCTCAGACGACACGGGGGCAGGAAGATCCTTGTTGGGGACTGACTTGGGAGGGTCGGTAACAAAACCATGTAGTAAACGAAATTAGTCAACTCGAGCCGACTTGGTAAATAACATATATTTCATTTCACGAGGAGGATGACAGGGACATGCTCTTGAGAAACAAACCAAAAAAGCAGGGCTAAAAGACCTTGAAACCATTCAGAGGCGTTCCTGCTCCAGCAGTAATGGCGCCTGGGCCATGCTGGTTTCAAGTTCCTCCTTGCTACATAAATGGCCAAAGGAAACATTATCCAAGAGTTCCACATCAAAGGCTAAATGGCAGGCTGATTTTCCCTTTAATCTGTCCAATAACCAAATGAGGATTAGACAATGTACATGTTTAGGAAGAGGACTTCATGCCTTTCCAGAGTGGACTTCCCTGCATTCTCATTCCCAGCTGGTCCCCACTGAGGAGCGGTTGTTGTGTAAAACATTCAGGGTGGCACAGACAGTCGGGCCAGAGCTTGGAGGTCTTGTAATCACCCTATAGAATGTCGGAACAATGTACTGAACATACACAACCAAAACCTGGGAAACAGTTGGAGCTGCATTCACCGCCTTTCTCCCAGCTGGCTTGAGGAGTTCAGATGAGGTCCACCTTTGGGAAAGGAGGCCTCCTGGAGACCACAGGAAACCCATCCTAAAGAGTCAGGTTCTACATGATGGCCTCAACACTGGATGAGAAATGATGAATTCTGACATCCTATGGACTGAGCAGCAAGGCAACAGTCATTTTGTTCGCACTTTTTGTAGTTGTTTAGAGTTGTATGTGTGCAGTATGACGTCTCAGACCAATAGAAGAGATACATCATCCATGATGTTGTTTAATCCTCACACAATGTTGTGAGGTAGGCAGGGCAGGAATGGTCATCTGGATCCTACAGAGGAGGAAGCGGAGGCCCATGAAAGTTAAGTGACTTACGCAAAGACACACAACTTGCAAATGGCCGATAAGGGACTTCAGGTGAGGACTTCTGATCACTTCCCTGACCCTCTGATGCTTTTCACTCTGCGATGTTGCTAATCGGCGATTTCTGTGTGCAAAGTTGTCACTCTGGATTACCAAGAGGACCTGGAAAAGGTTCTACATTATCCTTCCATAAATTGAATGTATGTGCCTGGCAAGGAGTTACAGCGAGATAGCAAAGCAAACTACCAACTCTTGGCTCTGAGTTGCCATATGAGACCATTAGCTTCACGAGGGCAGTAGCCATGCCTGGCCCGCTCTGTATCCCAGCACCTGTGCCAGCATGTGGCATAGTAAACATTTGTGGAGGTAGGGAAGGGGCGAGGACGGGAGGGAGGAAGGGAGGTTAGTTTCTTAGGATCACTGGCCTGCGGTGTTGGCTCTTCTCTCACTAGATTATCAGATTCCCCTAAGACGAGTGATGATAGGACTTTGTAGAATGTGTATTTTCTGGTCTCATTTTGGCTGCATTCGTTTCTCACCGTTGTTTTGTTTTTTCCTTTACTCTTGCTTTTTAATTCATGTGATTTTGTTGTTTTCATTTTTTGTCATACTTTAAGCATTGTTGTTGCTGACTAAATATTTCTGGGATATTAGTCAACCAAAACAACAACAACAACAACAACAAAAAACCTAGAAAAGTGAATAAATAGCTATATAAACACATGTAAGTAACAATGGGCATTTCTGTTCTATTTGTGCCCCTCCCCCTGCCAAGAATGCAGCCCATGTGACATTAACAAATTCTGTGGGGAGATTTTTTTTCCTAGCAGTCTTGCTGTCCCTCCTGTTCATACCTTTCCAAATTCTACTCACTCTTTAACATCTAATACACGGGCAGTTTCCTCCGCCCTGACCTCAGCTAGCGAAATACAGCTCTAGTTTCTTCTAACTGAATGTAGCATGTGCTACCTGTGAGCTCTGAGGAGCTCTGAGGCTGGCAGGAGCGTGGGGCAGGGCACTGCCATGGAACTCTCTGGCCGACCCCCATCTGACCAAGTAACAGCACGTGGTACCTGCTCCTGCTGGTCCATCCCCTATCACAAAAGCATGCCTTGGCCTCCCTCACCTCCCTGCCTCTGCAGGTTACTCCTCTG